AAAAATATAATATATTATTATTTAAATAAAAAATGAGATAATATAATCTATAAATTAAACAATAAATGTAAATAGTAAAAAAAGATGACAAAAAGAATAGAATTTTCTTTCAAAGTTCATAACAAACCATCAATTCCTACCAGAAAAAAAAAAGAAAAAAAAAAAGAAAGAACCATTTTAATGCATTGCCCCATCGATTGTATGACACGTGCATGGCTTAACCTATCACTACCCTGAAGACGTGGCACATGAGAATTGAGATTGACAATACACCAATAAAAGAAAAGAAAGAAATTCACTAATTCAGAAGTGGGCATAAGTCAGCAAAGCATTGCAACTGCCACGTGGGAGTTGGCATGCCACAACGTCTTTGCTGGAACTGGAAGAAGCATAATGCAGGAATCCAACGTGTAGTGGGCCAGCTTAGGAACTTTTTTTTAATTTTCTTTTTGTTGCTTTTTTTTTTTTTTGGCTAGGAAATCCTTACACCATTTCTTAACGGTCACATTTAACCTGCTAAACTAACGAGTTATTGAAAATAGAAATTTGTACTAGAAAAAAAGAGCAATGCAAACAACCAAACGCATCTACCAATCAAACGCATTTTCAGAATTATGATTCAAAATTATTCTCAATTTACGTATATTTTTTGTAAGAAAATACTGTAGTGAACCACAGACTATAATTCAAATCACAGTACGAATTTACCCACCAAACGCATGTTAAAAATAGAAATTTGTACCAGCAAAAAAGAGCAATGCAAACAACCAAACACATCTACCAATCAAACGCATTTTTAGAATTATGTTTCAGAATTATTCTCGATTTACGTGTATTTTTTGTGAGAAAATACTGTAACGAACTACGAACTATAATTCAAATCACGATACGAATTTACCAACCAAACGCATGTTGAAAATAGAAATTTGTACCAGCAAAAAAGAGCAATGCAAACAAAAACCAGGTGAAATTTGAAGGGGAAAAAATATAATATATATACCATTATAAGAAACAATGCAGTATACACATGTACTTGAACACGATTACATACAATTAATCAACAATCTCCAGAATCAAAGAATCAAAATTAGGAGATCTGCCAACTGCGTAATGGCACTTTTCTTCTTCAAGAGCTTAACGCCAATAAGTAGTGGTGCTTAAGCTTTGCTCCCGCAGTGTAACTTCAAAGCTATATCTCGATCCGATAATAATAGAAGCCGAAGATGACGATAAGATATGGGAATTTCAGACCAAAATTGCGAAATATGTGAAACTATAACTCGATCAGAACCCGTGGTCCACAAAACATTGTCATTGTATGTCAGCCAAAAGTTGCCATTTTTTCGCTTCTGGTACTCGAGTTTGTTACGACTCTTGAAGAACTAGACTCAGTTCCAGAGCACTTTTTGCCACCAAACCACCCTTCCTGAATAACACAAGAAAATTCTTAATTACTTGCAACCAGATTATACAAAGCCATTTTACATGCCACATGCTCCAAAGACGTGTATAGGCCATTTGACAACTACAAATTATTTTCTTTGGGCACGTTTAAGCAGATGAGATGTTTTTAAGCACAAGAGCTCAAGTTGACACTAACCTCACAAGTGATGGAAGGAGCTTCTGGATCTGTTGCAGCTGAATAGAGCACCGGTTGCAGCATTCCCGCCTGAACCCGGAAATTTCAAATTAGACAGCACGCACTTGTTGACTCTTGTTTACTCAGAATGATAAAAAAGAGAAAACCGAATCTAGTAATACAGCACCTTTGCTCTGCATGAAGATCAACTCCAACACTTCGTCGTGCCGAGACGGCTGAGCGTATCACTGGACCGAAGACTGCTACAAGCTTCAATAGTATCTCCAAAGACAATGTCGTGTGCCTGTGGGTTTTCAAGAATAACTTCCTCGTAAGGATTTATTTCTTGATGCAATAGAATGATATGTTTTCAATCTGCTCTTAGCATACAAAATGACTAAGACCTATAACAGCATTTAATTACCAAATGTGAGATCCAAAGGACGTGCCTCCTAAATTGCGGCGAGAAGATGCTCGGCAGCGGTTTGAACATCTTTTTTTTTTAAATATATATATATCTATATATATATATATAGATGTGTGTGAGAAAAGTACATCGCTTGTCATGGTTCTGTGCAGGCCTAATATTTATGCCATTCTAAATAATTAGGTGTCACTAGGCCTTTCATTTTCTTTTTATTAATTGAATGGCAATATATACACACACGTATATATATATATATAGAAAGGTTTGTTTCACAGCATATAACCCCTACTGTTTAACACATAAATTCTATCAATATCATATATTATTATTTAAATAAAAAATGAAATAATATAATCTATAAATTAAACAATAAATGTAAATAGTAAAAAAAGATGACAAAAAGAATAGAATTTTCTTTCAAAGTTCATAACAAACCATCAATTCCTACCAGAAAAAAAAAAAAAAGAACCATTTTAATGCATTGCCCCATCGATTGTATGACACGTGCATGGCTTAACCTATCACTACCCTAAGACGTGGCACATGAGAATTGAGATTGACAATACACCAATAAAAGAAAAGAAAGAAATTCACTAATTCAGAAGTGGGCATAAGTCAGCAAAGCATTGCAACTGCCACGTGGGAGTTGGCATGCCACAACGTCTTTGCTGGAACTGGAAGAAGCATAATGCATGAATCCAACGTGTAGTGGGCCAGCTTAGGAACTTTTTTTTAATTTTCTTTTTGTTGCTTGTTTTTTTTTTTTTGGCTAGGAAATCCTTACACCATTTCTTAACGGTCACATTTGACCTGCTAAACTAACGAGTTATTGAAAATAGAAATTTGTACTAGAAAAAAAGAGCAATGCAAACAACCAAACGCATCTACCAATCAAACACATTTTCAAAATTATGATTCAGCATTATTCTCGATTTACGTGTATATTTTGTAAAAAAATACTGTAGTGAACCACGAACTATAATTCAAATCACGGTACGAATTTACCAACCAAACGCATGTTGAAAATAGAAATTTGTACCAACAAAAAAGAGCAATGCAAACAACCAAACGCATTTTCAGAATTTTGATTCAGAATCATTCTCAATTTACGTGTATTTTTTATGAGAAAATACTGTAACGAACCACGAACCATAATTCAAATCACGATACGAATTTACCAACCAAACGCATGTTGAAAATAGAAATTTGTACCAGCAAAAAAGAGCAATGCAAACAAAAACCAGGTGAAATTTGAAGGGGAAAAAATATAATATATATACCATTATAAGAAACAATGCAGTATACACATGTACTTGAACACGATTACATACAATTAATCAACAATCTCCAGAATCAAAGAATCAAAATTAGGAGATCTGCCAACTGCGTAATGGCACTTTTCTTCTTCAAGAGCTTAACGCCAATAAGTAGTGGTGCTTAAGCTTTGCTCCCGCAGTGTAACTTCAAAGCTATATCTCGATCCGATAATAATAGAAGCCGAAGATGACGATAAGATATGGGAATTTCAGACCAAAATTGCGAAATATGTGAAACTATAACTCGATCAGAACCCGTGGTCCACAAAACATTGTCATTGTATGTCAGCCAAAAGTTGCCATTTTTTCGCTTCTGGTACTCGAGTTTGTTACGACTCTTGGAGAACTAGACTCAGTTCCAGAGCACTTTTTGCCACCAAACCACCCTTCCTGAATAACACAAGAAAATTCTTAATTAATTGCAACCAGATTATACAAAGCCATTTTACATGCCACATGCTCCAAAGACGTGTATAGGCCATTTGACAACTACAAATTATTTTCTTTGGGCACGTTTAAGCAGATGAGATGTTTTTAAGCACAAGAGCTCAAGTTGACACTAACCTCACAAGTGATGGAAGGAGCTTCTGGATCTGTTGCAGCTGAATAGAGCACCGGTTGCAGCATTCCCGCCTGAACCCGGAAATTTCAAATTAGACAGCACGCACTTGTTGACTCTTGTTTACTCAGAATGATAAAAAAGAGAAAACCGAATCTAGTAATACAGCACCTTTGCTCTGCATGAAGATCAACTCCAACACTTCGTCGTGCCGAGACGGCTGAGCGTATCACTGGACCGAAGACTGCTACAAGCTTCAATAGTATCTCCAAAGACAACGTCGTGTGCCTGTGGGTTTTCAAGAATAACTTCCTCGTAAGGATTTATTTCTTGATGCAATAGAATGCTATGTTTTCAATCTGCTCTTAGCATACAAAATGATTAAGACCTATAACAGCATTTAATTACCAAATGTGAGATCCAAAGGACATGCCTCCTAAATTGCGGCGAGAAGATGCTCGGCAGCAGTTTGAACATATTTTTTTTTTTAAATATATATATCTATAGACCCGTTCATTTCGCTGATTCGAGTTTGTAATTCGAGTTGAGATGTGATTTTGTGTGAGAGCTTTTTACCGTAGCAAAAAAGTTAAATGTGACTGTTTCTGAGAGCTTTTTACTGTAGCAAAACTCGAATCGGCGAAATGAACGGGGCCTATATATATAGATGTGTGTGAGAAAAGTACATGGCTTGCCATGGTTCTGTGCAAGCCTAATATTTATGCCATTCTAAATAATTAGGTGTCACTGAGGCCTTTCATTTTCTTTTTATTAATTGAATGGCAATATATACACACACATATATATATAGAAAGGTTTGTTTCACAGCAAATAACCCCTCATAAATTGCTGACCATCTCTTTGAAATAAATACCTTTCAGTCTTGCTGTCAAGTAAGCCAAGAAGCACAGGAAGCAAACAAGAAAATAGATCTAGGTTAAGAATATCCATTTTCTCTATGAGAACACTGGCTACATCTGCTTGTACCTGCACAAAGTCCAAATGATTGTCAGATGAAAAGGAAAAAAAAAAAAGAACATGCATATAAATCTCCACTATAACAAACTGAATAAGCTACAGGAATATTTTTTTCCAATGATACCCACAGAATGATCTGGAAGCTTCCTCATGGCATTAATAGCACCTTTAACATCATTTCGTTCCCAAAAATGCCGCACCACCTGTAATTAGACAGAAGCATACTTGACTGCCTTTTAGAGATTGTTCAAGAAATAATTTCATAAAATACACATTTTCTCAAATACGAAAACAAAACAACAGAAACAATATCATGTGTCTTTCTTTTGTTTTTCTTTTCACCAGAAGCAGAAGTTTCTTATCACATGTACCTTAGGTTTGTTTGTTATCGGGGTTCTTCATAGTTCAGACCATGGTTCTTGGTTCTGATACAATTTTTCCTTTTACAAAAATTTAAATTTCAAAAGTCAAAATCATGAACTATGGTTTAAACCGATGAACCAAATGGACCCTAAATGTTTTAATTGAATCCAGTGATAACGTTCTATATATAAATATATATATTTAATAAACTTTTGAACCTACGCATGCTACAATTTGTCACTTCTATTCCTAG